TCGATTTCATTTATGGCTTTTAGTTCTTCCCGCGATTCCTGACTCCTAAAGGATTCCTTTAGCTTAAGTTCGATGCTTGCTATTTCTCTGACCAGTGTCTCCCTACGCATTTCAGATATATTGACCTCTTTTAGCAGCTCTGTTATTCTTTTCCGTCGCCTGTAAAGGGAGCGCCTGTTTCTTTCTATTTTACATCTACTCCTCCTTTTTCTTAGAGGAATAAGCCTTGTGCATACATCGAGTGACACCAAGTTAATTTGTTCTAGGCATAAGTTGGGGTCTGTGTTGCTTAGTATATCTTCCCAGCTTATATCGGTTAGGACTTGGTTTACTTGGTCCCACTTTATGTTTTTGTTATTGAAGTTGAATTTGGTGAATGCTCCCTCGTGACTAGTCTCATTATGTCGGTCTGGGGCTCCACGCATTCATGTCTGAACCTCAATTATGTTGTGATCTGAGTATATTGTTTTTGATATGGTGACATTTGTTATCAGATCATCATTGTTAGTGAAGATGAGGTCTAGTGTATTCTCCAGTCTAGTAGGCTCTATTATTTGCTGGTTTAAATTGAACTTTGTGCAGAGATTTAAAAGCTCGTGTGAGTGTGAGTTTTCATCAGAGCTGCCTCCTGGTGTTATTACTGCAACAATATTATTTGCTATATTCCTCCATTTTAGGTGCCTTAAGTTGAAATCCCCCAGGAGCAAGATGTTGGGTGCAGGAGCTGGAAGATTTTCCAGACAGTGGTCAATTTTTAACAGCTGTTCGTGGAATTGCTGGGATGTTGCATCTGGAGGCTTGTAGACTACCACAATGACTAGGTTTTGGTTCTCGACCTTTACTGCTAAAACTTCCACTACATCATTTGAGGCATTAAGCAGTTCTGTGCAAACAAGTGACTCTGCAATGTACAGGTCAACCCCCCCCCCTTTTGCCTGTTCACTCTGTCACATCTATATAGGTTGTAACCTGGGATCCATATTTCGTTGTCCAAGTGATCCTTTATGTGGGGTCTCAGTGAAAGCCGCGAACATTGCCTTTGCCTCTGCAAGCAGTCCACGGATGAAAGGTATTTTGTTGTTTGTTGCTGGCTTTAGACCCTGTATATTTGCAAAGAAGAATGTTATCGGACTGGTGGTATTGTTGGTACTGGGGGAAGATTTTTTTCCGGCATTAGTATCTGTATCTATTGGTTTGGAGTGGAGGCCATCGACTGTGGTTCCACTCCAGGAATGACTGGATTTGGTGTACGATTTCTGCCATTTCCTGCCAGTTTTTTTTCCTTCCTGGCACTAAAAAACCTCTCCCTCTTGAGTGGCTGTGGCTACCCAGGTTTTCCCATGGCCTGGATGTTTTGTATCTTTTTGTCCCCTTTAGATGGTATGCCTGGCAATTTAAGTCATAGCACAGTCTTTCCTGTACTGAAGAGGTACACAGTTCAGGGTGAAAAAGCTTACAGGAAGGGAGTTTGCATTTTCCTGTTTCATATGGGCATGGCATTTTCTAGGGTGGTCATAGTTGCACATCCCATCTGTTTTTCCAGATTTCCCATGCCTGCAGATACCAAGTGCATAGTATGTGCACAGGCTTGGTTTCCGTTTGCCTTGGGTTTCTGTGACTGTATTCCCTGTTGGTGCATGTTTCCCTGTCTTACTCCTATCCTCCCTAGCACCAACAATGGAGCTCCCACCAGTTGTTTTTGGTAATATATCCTCACTATTGCTAGTGGAGTCCTCTTGTTTGCTATTTCCTGGGGTAATTCTAGTTTGCAATATTGGTTTTATCTTATCTTTGATTACACTTGTTTCCCTACTACGGCTCCTGTCCCTTATGAGGTCATTTATATGTATTCCTTCCTGCGTATAATTCCCGACTACCTGGACAAAATCTCCAGCTTCACCATTACTGTCTCCCGGGACAGCATCTCCAGCTTCACCACTACTGTCTCCCAGGACAGCACCTCCAGCTTCACCATTACTGTCTCCCAGGACAGCACCTCCAGCTTCACCATTACTGTCTCCCAGGACAGCACTATCAGCCCCACATTTACTGACTACCAGGACATCACCTCCAGCCTTACAGTTTCTGACTACATGGCCAGTATCGAGGGCAGTACCATTCAGCCCAGACATTTTATGTTCCCATCTGTTGTAGAAAGCTTCCAGGTTGTCTATGAAAGCAGCTTTGATGTTGTCCTCTTTTAATACCCTTGTGATTTTAGTCCACAGATTTATCTCATTTGGGCATACCCAAATATATAAAAACAGATGTACAACTTTAACACACTATGATCTATTTCTCTAGTATTAAGTAGTCTGTAACCCATTAAATTTAGTCTACCCGTAAAGCCAAGGCAGGATAGTGACTCTTTGCACTTCAAATTATTATTGCAATTACACTCTGTAAACTATCTATGTAAATAGGACTCCCTACAACATGCCAGCCTCATTGTAAACTTGCAAAGAAATAAAAATTTGAATTTGAATTTGAATAAAGGGGGGTAAGGGGAGAGAGGGGCAGTAGTAATCCCTGTTCACAAAAAGAAGAGCAGAGCAGAAATCAGCAACAACAGACCAGTGTCACTCCTGTCAATCACTGGTAAGATCCTTGAGACAATAATCTCAAGACAAATGACAGAGTTTTTTGACTACCACTCACTACTTTGTGATCGTCAATATGGCTTCAGGTCATTTCAGCAGAGTCTTCAACACAGGAGGGATGTGGGTAGCCTTACTGTTATGTACAAGGACAATATTGTCAAATTACCACACTTGGATCCACTTCGAGGACAGCGTGAAACAAGCTTTTATGCCACAAGACGGGCAGAAAGCAGCAACTTCACTCTGGCTGTACCCTTCTCCATAACATCACTCCATCTGAGATCATATATACCCAGGATGACTCGAGTATGGAACACATTCGTACAGCATAATGATGTCAACGAGATAACGTCAGCTGATCAAATGAAAATGCTGGCCAACAGATGGCTCCAACTTCATCCTGTACCCTACTTGTATGTCTCGTAACAATAAAAATGCTTTCAAATGAGCTGATGTAGGTAACAGCTCTTAGCTTGCCAGTAAAGTTAGAAATCCTTAACCTGTAAATTGCTTGTCAATAAAGCTAGGGATCCTTAACCTTGTCAAACCCTGTGTAAAAAAAGAAAAGAGAGAGAGAGAGAGAGAGAGAGAGAGAGAGAGAGAGAGAGAGGATCAGGGAGGGAGGGGGAGAGAGAGTAGAGTGAGGTGGACAGAGAGAGAATGGGAGAGAGGAAGAGAAATGGGAGAGGGGTAGAATGTGAGTTAGTGTGAGTGGGGAGTTTGTGTGTAAGGGGGGGGGGGCATAGGTTCCTGTCATTGTTTATGGCATTAACGGTTCATATGTGTACTCACCTAGTTATGGTTGCAGAGGTCGATTCACAGCTTCTGGCCCAGCCTCTTCACTGGTCGCTACTATGTCACTCTTCCTGCTCCATAAGCTTCATTATCCTCTTATTAAAGCTACGTATGTATACTGCCTCCACTACCTCTCTTCCCAGACTATTCCACTTCCCTATACCTCCTGTCTTGCAGTGTCGTCAGATCGACTTCCCTTAACCTCTCCTCGTAGGACATACCCCTTAGCTCTGGGACTAGTCTTGTTGCAAACCTTAGCACTTTCTCTAATTTCCTTACGTATTTGACCAGGAGTGGTTTCCAAACTGGTGCTGCATACTCCAATATGGGCCTAATGTACACAGTGTACAGGGTCCTGAATGATTCCTTATTGAGATATCGGAATGGTATTCTTAGGTTTGCTAGGCGCCCATATGCTGCAGCAGTTATTTGGTTGATGTGCACCTCAGGAGATGTGCTCGGTGTTATACTCACCCCAAGATCCTTTTCCTTGAGTAAAGTTTGTACTATCTGGCCCCCTAGAGTATATTCCGTCTGTGGTCTTCTTTGCCCTTCCCCAATCTTCATGACTTTGCACTTGGTGGGGTTGAACTCCAGAAGCCAGTTTCTGGACCAGGCCTGCACCCTGTCCAGATCCTTTTGTAGTTCTGCCTGGTCCCCGTCCGATTGAATTCTTCTCATCAACTTCACATCATCTGCAAACAGCGACACTTCGGAGTCTATTCCTTCCGTTATACCATATGTGTATGTGTGTGTACTCACCTAATTGTGCTCGCCTAATTGTGGTTGCAGGGGTCGATACTCAGCTCCTGGCCCCGCCTCTTCAGTGATCGCTACTAGGTCCTCTCTCTCTCTGCTTCCTGAGCTTTTGTCATACCTCGTTTTAAAGCTATGTATGGTTCCTGCCTCCACTACGTCATTTGCTAGGCCATTCCACTTCCTGACGACTTTATGACTGAAGAAATACTTCCTAACATCCCTGTGACTCGTCTGAGTCTTCAGCTTCCAATTGTGACCCCTCGTTTCTGTATCCCCTCTCTGGAACATCCTGTCTCTGTCCACCTTATCTATTCCATGCAGTATCTTGTATGTCGCTATCATGTCTCCCCTGACGCTTCTATCCTCCAGTGTCGTTAGTCCGATTTCCCTCAACCTTTCATCGTAGGACATGTGTGTGTGTGTGTGTGTGTGTGTGTGTGTGTGTGTGTGTGTGTGTGTGTGTGTGTGTGTGTGTGTGTGTCGTTGTCTATAAAAATGTCTGTTTCTCTCTGTTACAGTGCTATGTGGGTTGCATGTGTAAGGATAATAATGAACTCCAAATACTGAATTCAAAATGGAAAAACTTAGGCTTTGAAATGATACAAAAATTTTTTTTTGGTAGGGCAATAGAGTTGCAGACAAGTAAACTAACGACCATGCAGATTGCGAGGCCATGAATCAAGTTCTTTGGGCAGCCATTAAAATAAGTTAGAAAGATCCATGAGGGAAAAATAAGTAAATGTGTAACTAAGGCTTTACATGAACCAACAGTTTGTCATGTTGCAGTGTCAATATGTCAACATTGCAAAGTTGCAATGTCAACATGTCATCATTATGTTGTTGCAGTGTGAAAATGTCAGCATCGGTTGTGTCAGGAAGGTTGTCAGGCGTGGCAGTGTTGTCACTGCTGGTGCTGCTGCTGCTGGCTCCCTCACCAGCACCAGCCAAGCCCTTCGACCTCTCACAGATTGTGTCTGTACTCGCAGACCATATCTTCAAGTGAGTATTTATGTGTTCTCTTGTTTCCGACAGGTACAACCAAACATGAAACATTTAATTCTTAAACATCTATAGGTTACTGTATGGGCACAGAAACACATATACACAGGTAAACTCCAGGTAAACATACAGATGTGGCTACACAGGTGAGGGTTTATTTAAAAAAGTAGCTACAGAGGTAACAGATGACTGGTATACCGGTGCTGGTTATCACTGATGAAGTAACCCCTGGCTTACCTATGCTGTATACCAGAAGTAAATTTTATTTTATTCCACCTCATTAAAAAAAAAAAAGGAAAGGTTCAGTAAGATATAACTAAGCTGTTTGTAATATCAGTTGCAGGACATAATCAAATGTACCTTCAATTTGTCATTATATTAATGGAATGCAACACACACAAATAGGTAAGTAAGATACATGTTCGCCTGCTAATAGGAAAAACGTCTGGTAAATAAAGAAGCCAAACTTTTCCATAATGCACATATGTCTTACTTATAACCGTCAATTTCTTGTTCTCGTTTATTTTTTAACTACTCTTGATTTTACCACAGGCGGCTGTTTACAGTACGTGAGATAGAGCTCCTGGGCCACTACTGTACTCTCAGAACGCAGCCTTACTTCAGTAGGTGGAGACTGCACCACAAGGCCTCCGTCACTTGCCCAGGATGGACCACTGCTTTGGGGAGAGGTTGGTAGTTGTAGTGCTGGTCAGACTTCGTCCTCTGCTCTGTGCTTTAGGTCAGACCTCATCCTTTGCTCTGTGTTTCAAGTCAGTACTCTTCCTCTACCCAGAGTCTACCAGGAGAGTTTTATATCTGGAATATACCTGGAGGTTGTTTCGGAGATCAACACCCCTCCCCCCCAATCCCGGTTCATGACCAGGCCTCGCGGTGGATCAGGGCCTGACCAACCAGGCTGTTGCTGCTGGTCGCACGCAAACCAACGTATGAACCACAGCAGGGCTGGTTAGCTATTGACTTCAGGTTCCTGTTCAGCTTTCTCTTGAAAACAGTCAGGGGTCTATTGGTAATCCCCCCTCCCTTATGTATGCTGGGAGGTAGTTGCACAATCTTGGGCCCCTGACACTTATTGTGCTGTGTCTTAGCGTACTCATGGCACCAATGCTATTCATTGGGGGGATGTTGCACCGCCTGCCAAGTCTTTTGTTTTCATAGGGAGTGATTTCCGTATGCAGATTTGGGACATTTTTAATAACCCACGATCTTCCTGCCTCGTTGTGCTCCGGGTTTTCTCGTGTTTTCACTGTCGCTCTTACGTGCTAGAACTTTAATTTGTGCCATCAATCCTATACGATACATCCCTCTAGCGCCTGGAACCAATCTTGGGCGGAAAACATTATATACTGAGTCAAAAAAGGAGAATTAGTGTGCACTACCTAGCAGAGTTTACTGCCAGAGAGGAATCATAGGCCTGTGTTCCGTGTGCAAAATAATAATAATAGAACTTTTCTTTGTCAGAGGAAAGAAAGTCTCCCTGATAACATTGTGTATACATAGTGTATAGTGTATACTACAGTGGCTCCCTAGTATATAGATGATAAAGGCTAAAGTGTCATTTGAAAACAGGTGAATTTGTAAATGAAGTGATAAGCCTATAGAGGCAGGTGCCAGAAGTCGCCAGAATCTTACCACACTGGTCAGCTGTTTTAATAATCTTCCTGGCCTGCTAGTGTACTCGCATATAATCTAGTGATACCAGTGAATAGCAGAATACAGTGTTGTAATAGCAACTAACCAGTATTATAATGGTACTTAGTGGAGAGGAGTGACTTTCATTAGTTTCTTTTTTCTTGAAATACCAGACGTATACTTGTGAATTTCATATTGTTGTGATAGAAACACAGGCCTTATCTCTAGGCTTTATTGAACATAGAATCTTCATAGTACTTCTGCAACAACAAAATATAATGACTAGTACATCTAATAATGGCTTCTACAGGGATGGTGATGTCTTGCATATGTCAAGAGAAAAGTTATAACTACAGGCCACATATTTAAACTCACCATGTAATCTGCATCGCTGATAAATGGATAAAGTAGGAGAGAATCACACACCATGTGTTGGTGCCCATGACACACACCAAACTGTTGTTGTTGTTAAGGGCCCCTAGAGGTGGTGCAGTATTATCCTGCTGCTGCTCCCCACAGGACCAGTATCACTACACATATAATATAGCAAATATAGCAAATAATATAGCAAATAATATAGCAAATAATATAGCAAATAATATTGTTGCAGTAATAACACAGGAGGCAGCTCTGATGAAAACTCACACTCACACGAGCTTTTAAATCTCTGCACAAAATTCAATTTAAACCAGCAAATAATAGAGCCTACTAGACTGGAGAATACACTAGACCTCATATTCACTAACAATGATGATCTGATAAGAAATGTCACCATATCAAAAACAATATACTCAGATCACAACATAATTGAGGTTCAGACATGTATGCGAGGAGCCCCAGACCGACAAAATGAGACTAGTCACGAGGGAGCATTCACCAAATTCAACTTCAATAACAAAAACATAAAGTGGGACCAAGTAAACCAAGTCCTAACCGATATAAGCTGGGAAGATATACTAAGCAACACAGACCCAAACTTATGCCTAGAACAGATTAACTCGGTGGCACTCGATGTATGCACAAGGCTTATTCCTCTAAGAAAAAGGAGGAGTAGATGTAAAATAGAAAGAGACAGGCGCTCCCTTTACAGGCGACGGAAAGAATAACAGAGCGGCTAAAAGAGGTCAATATATCTGAAATGCGCAGGGAGACACTGGTCAGAGAAATAGCAAGCATCGAACTTAAGCTAAAAGAATCCTTTAGGAGTCAGGAATCGCGGGAAGAACTAAAAGCTATAAATGAAATCGAAAGAAACCCAAAGTATTTCTTCTCCTATGCCAAATCAAAATCGAGAACAACGCCCAGTATTGGGCCCCTACTTAAACAAGATGGGTCCTACACAGATGACAGCAAGGAAATGAGTGAGCTACTCAAGTCCCAATATGACTCAGTTTTTAGCAAGCCGCTAACCAGACTGAGAGTCGAAGATCAAAATGAATTTTTTATGAGAGAGCCACAAAATTTGATTAACACAAGCCTATCCGATGTTATCCTGAGCCAAATGACTTCGAACAGGCGATAAATGACATGCCCATGCACTCTGCCCCAGGGCCAGACTCATGGAACTCTGTGTTCATCAAGAACTGCAAGAAGCCCCTATCACGAGCCTTTTCCATCCTATGGAGTAGGGAGCATGGACACGGGGGTCGTCCTCAGTTACTAAAAACAACAGACATAGCCCCACTCCACAAAGGGGGCAGTTAAAGCAACAGCAAAGAACTACAGACCAATAGCACTAACATCCCATATCATAAAAATCTTTGAAAGGGTCCTAAGAAGCAAGATCACCACCCATCTAGAAACCCATCAGTTTACACAACCCAGGGCAACATGGGTTTAGAAACAGGTCGCTCCTGTCTGTCTCAGCTACTGGATCACTACGACAAGGTCCTAAATGCACTAGAAGACAAAAAGAATGCAGATGTAATATATACAGACTTTGCAAAAGCCTTCGACAAGTGTGACCATGGCGTAATAGCGCACAAAATGCACGCTAAAGGAATAACAGGAAAAGTCAGTCGATGGATCTATAATTTCCTCACTAACAGAACACAGAGAGTAGTCGTCAACAGAGTAAAGTCCGAGGCAGCTACGGTGAAAAGCTCTGTTCCACAAGGCACAGTACTAGCTCCCATCTTGTTCCTCATCCTCATATCCGACATAGACAAGGATGTCAGCCTCAGCACCGTGTCTTCCTTTGCAGATGACACCCGAATCTGCATGACAGTGTCTTCCATTGCAGACACTGCAAGGCTCCAGGCGGACATCAACCAAATCTTTCAGTGGGCTGCAGAAAACAATATGAAGTTCAACGATGAGAAATTTCAATTACTCAGATATGGTAAACATGAGGAAATTAAATCTTCATCAGAGTACAAAACAAATTCTGGCCACGAAATAGAGCGAAACACCAACGTCAAAGACCTGGGAGTGATTATGTCGGAGGATCTCACCTTCAAGGACCATAACATTGTATCAATCGCATCTGCTAGAAAAATGACAGGATGGATAATGAGAACCTTCAAAACTAGGGAGGCCAAGCCCATGATGACACTCTTCAGGTCACTTGTTCTATCTAGGCTGGATATTGCTGCACTCTAACAGCACCTTTAAAGGGCAGGTGAAATTGCCGACCTAGAAAATGTACAGAGAACTTTCACGGCGCGCATAACGGAGATAAAACACCTCAATTACTGGGAGCGCTTGAGGTTTCTAAACCTGTATTCCCTGGAACGCAGGAGGGAGAGATACATGATTATATACACCTGGAAAATCCTAGAGGGACTAGTACCGAACTTGCACACGAAAATCACTCATACGAAGCAAAAGACTTGGCAGACGATGCACCATCCCCCCAATGAAAAGCAGGGGTGTCACTAGCACGTTAAGAGACCATACAATAAGTGTCAGGGGCCCGAGACTGTTCAACTGCCTCCCAGCACACATAAGGGGGATTACCAACAGACCCCTGGCAGTCTTCAAGCTGGCACTGGACAAGCACCTAAAGTCAGTTCCTGATCAGCCGGGCTGTGGCTCGTACGTTGGTTTGCGTGCAGCCAGCAGCAACAGCCTGGTTGATCAGGCGCTGATCCACCAGGAGGCCTGGTCACAGACCGGGCCGCGGGGGCGTTGACCCCCGAAACTCTCTCCAGGTAAACTCCAGGTAACCTGTAGTTACCAGCGGTCACAATATACACAACGAGAAGCAATTATTACTACAGAAAAAGCGTTCTTCCTCCAAAATTTCCACCAGTCAACTATAGTGATAATATAGCATTTATTGTGGTGGAGACGAAAAAAAAAAAACTAGAATAGCTAGATACAGCGATTGATAAACGAGGGTTGAGGCTCGACCGTTCGTCACTGTAGGAGCTGCCAGAAATCACCGGCTCTTCAACACGCAAGTTATACTTTTGTATCAATCAAATCACATATTACTCGGGTAGACAATTTCAAGTAGATCCTTCATGTGTTAGCCCAAATCACCGACTAGTATGTTTTAAATAAGTGACCCACTGATCAGATCAGATCGACTGGTCCGAACCCTCGACTGGTCCGAACCCTTGATGGTCCGAACCCTTGACTGGTTTCAAACGGTTTCGTTGGACAATAAAGCAGACTGTAAACGGATGGGGTTGTAGGCGCCCTTATCAAACACAAACAATAAATACAAATCAGGAACGTACACGGTAAGCTGTCCAATTAGTTAGAAATAGAAATACAAATAGCTAGAGCTTCATTTACCTGGAGTTTACCTGGAGAGAGTTTCGGGGGTCAACGCCCCCGCGGCCCGGTCTGTGACCAGGCCTCCTGGTGGATCAGCGCCTGATCAACCAGGCTGTTGCTGCTGGCTGCACGCAAACCAACGTACGAGCCACAGCCCGGCTGATCAGGAACTGACTTTAGGTGCTTGTCCAGTGCCAGCTTGAAGACTGCCAGGGGTCTGTTGGTAATCCCCCTTATGTGTGCTGGGAGGCAGTTGAACAGTCTCGGGCCCCTGACACTTATTGTATGGTCTCTTAACGTGCTAGTGACACCC